GGCCTGGAACTCCCTATGTAGACCAGGCTGACCTTGAACTCACAGAGATCTGTCTGCCTCTGTCTCCTGAGTACTGGGATTAAAGGGATGAGCCACTTTACCCTTATTATTTCTTATTTTTTATTTTAATTATGTGTGTGTGTGCTGTGTATGAGTATGTGCACAGGAGTGTAGGTGCTCATGAAGGCCAGATGTATCAGATTCCCTAGAGCTGGAGTTATAGCCAACTGTGATACTCTTAACTTCTAAGCCATTTCTCTACCTCTTGTAAATATATTTTATCCTAGATGAACTATGTCCTGATCACTGAATGTGTGAATGATCATAGGAAAGACTAATAGAACTCTCATAGCACATATAAGACAATTACGAACAGGACCAAATGGTAATAAGTACACAACGGGATCTATGGTTATTCTATTTATTACATTATATTTTGCACTGAGAAATACATGTGGCCCCCAAAAGAGTCAGCGATTTTTCTTCAAAGATCAGAAAATAGCTTAAAGATTAATTGATTTATGGGGCTCACAGGTACCTCGCAGCTTATGCATTGAAGAGTATCTCATAAGCTCTCCCGTCCTAGCATCTGGCTGGCCTAATTAAGATTTCCTCCATCCTCTTTCCTTAGACGGACCTACTTACTTCTGGATAATGCCATCACCACAGTACCCACTTCCATGGGTGTATATGGCAGCAGGCGATGGCTCACTCTCTTCCGTTCCTGAAATGGTGATAATCCTGTACTGGTACACACTACCGAGCTTCAGATCCCTGGAAAATAAAAAGAAGTTTTCTAGTTAAATAAATACAGTGCTTGTGGGAGGCAGGAAGAGAATTAAAAATTTATCTCTTTGAATACAATCTTGCATTCTTGCTCATTTTGGAAATCAAATGCCATTTAGTTATCCCATAATTTGGTTTTGTTTTTTTTTTCTCTTTTTGGTATTTGAAACAGGGTCTCCTTGTAGCCCCCCAAGCTGGCCTGGAACTCACTATGTAGACCAGGCTGGCCTTGAACTCACAGAGATTCACCCAACTCTGCCTCCCAAGTGCTGGGACTACAGGCATGTGCCACCACGCCCAGCTTTATCCCATAATTTATATTATATACTCTGGTTAACCTACTCTGCTAAGTATGCTGGAGTACACTGAAATGTATACCACTAATAATTGGCCTCACCTGACTGAAAACATGAATAGCACTAGATGTCTTTGACCTTTAACTTTTTGTACCCACCCTTGTGGAAGAATATCAGAGAGTATGGGATTCATACAATAAGTGTGAGGGAGAAAGTGATCCTGGGAAAAGGAAGGATAAGCAAAACCACAGAAGAGTCTCTGCACATTATCTAACCATTTCATTTAAGGACCTGTGCAAGAGCCCGCTTTGTGTGAGCAAGCCCTTTCCTTACGTTGCACTGTCAGCAAGTCTCCCTCTTCACTGCTTGTGGCTCTCCGTGTTTCTCATTCTTTACTTAACAACAGCAGCACTCATTAACTGAATTTTGGCCCTTGGCTGTGCACTTGCCATACATATTTTTATTTGCGAATCAAAACAACCCTACATAGGCACTAGTATTTTCATGTCGTTTTTATAGATGATGACTCTGAGGTGTAGAGAAGTTAAGCCAATTGTTTTCAATCATGTGCTATTGAGTCATATCCTATATCCTACCTCCCTCCGGGCCTACCTAGGGTCTTGTCCTGGAATGGCAATTCCAGCTGCTGATACCTGCCAGATTTCTAACATGCCAAAATTACATCTCTCCTCTGACTTAAGACCTCAGGAGCCTGTCCAGACGTCCTCACCTGGGAACCTGGCTACTGTTAGTAATCCTCTAGCACAAAAGCATGTTTATGTCAATTCTACATGACTAATCTCCGTTCGTATTTCCTTTTAGATCATTTTCAAAGAGATATGTCATTCTTCATTTTTTAAATAATAAAAATGTACCATGGGAAAAACCACAAAAGGTTAATAAAGAGAATTCCTATCAGATTCCAGAGAGGAAGGAGGTGGATTTCATAAACAAAAAAGACGATGTCAGAAATCTCAAGATCTCCTGCCCATCTATTATTTCAGCTGCTATGTTAGGGCTGGAGCTGTTTGGACAAGGCCAAAGAGATAACAGGTGCATGAGCAATGAACAGAGATGCTTTCCTAAGAAGCGATGATGAGTTAGAGTTTAGCAATAAATGATTCCTGTGAAGAACATTACCTTACTGAAAACAGTAGACACATTCTCTCCAAAGGGAGTTTGCTTTAGTAGCGCTGAAGTGCTACTAATGTTGTGGGTAGACCCGGAGTCCATGAGGATTCTACTATAGGTGTGCTGATGAAAACTAGTCAGTAGGTTCATAACTATCTTGAGATATTGTACATATAGATGACAGTTAAATTGCAAATTCCAGAATGCCATCATCAAAATACCCATCTTGTTGGCTCTTTTACCCATGCCTAGACTAATGAGTGATTCTTCTAAAACTACACTAGGGTAGGGGTGAAAGTGGTATTGTAAGGTACATGAAGGCACACAATAAATCTGCCATGAGTTTTATAATACATTCACTTAGTTCTAAAATGTGGAGACCTATTGAAAGAATACGACAGTGTTTTTGAATAAAGTAAGAAATATGCTTCAGGCTACATCTTGGACCACAGAAGGCATACGCTCAGTGCCTGAGTCAATGGGCGCTTCTGTAGAAAAGCTTGCCAGTACAAAAAGTACTTCTCAAAGTGTTTTTCATTTGTGTGTACATCACAAATGATTTGTGGCTGGAGTATTTAGGGCGATAAATTAGCCAATCTTTGTGAATGTTTTCCTCTAGTCCTACCTTACCTTTTGTACATCTTCATGCCATGCTCTTTCTCTGTCTCCGTGATCACCAACATGCAGCTAAGCAAATACGTTTTTGTGTCCCGGCTTCATCACTTTTATCCAGAAAGTCCTTGGCAGGGATTGTTTTTAATCTCTTTGAGCCTATTTCAAGTCAGTTATAAATCTGTCCTCAGAGTATTTTTCCTAAAGCTCAAAGCGAGAATATGTATAAAGTACATATGTCCCCAGCCCTTGATGAAGCACTAATAAATGTTGATCCGGTATTATCAATGGTTAATTAGCAACATTCTCAGCCACTGGGGTTATGTTACACCCCTCTTTAGTAGAAGAGACAGAGATACACATAATGCATGTAGTCTTGGCTAGGTGAATTCATGAATATGGGGCCATTATCTGCCATATGTGGTTCAGCTTGTTGGAAAGTTCGTCTTTCATGACATCATTTAGCTAGGAAGCCCTCAATGTCAAACACAGTGCTCTCTTTCAAGGTAACTCATTCCAAGTTCTGAAAATTCTACATCTCAGTTCTGTCTTAACCCTAGGATAAGAGCTCTCTCTTAATAATTTCTACCCAGTGACGCTCTTTCTAACAGCATGTTCAACATTTCAGATTGTTCAAGAGAATTTAATGACCCTCTTCTCACAACTGTGTGTCTGGCTTATATGTCGTTATCCTTTTGAAGCCAGAGTCAGGGACTGAAATCCTAAATTCTCAGAAAGGGTAACAGAAACTCAAGTCATACCTTTATTTAAATTGCAAATTCCAATTTATTTAAAAATTTGAAGGAAGGGCAGGTACAATTGCTGTTAAAATGATTATGCTTTTCTATTGAAAATTTTCTGTGGTAAAATTATATTTTCTCCAAGATAAAATAAAAATTAATGTAAAACATAAGTTCTTCAGAACCTAAATAGATTTCGTTTTATTTTTGTAAGAAAGGCAAGCTGGTGGCTGCTGACATCTTTGTTGGAGGTTAGAATCCATGTCGTGCTTGGTCTAAAAGTAGGATGTTTACGTCAATTGGCCCTTTCACTTGCTCCTAAATCCATATGAGAAGCTTTAAGCTGTCACTTGAATTTCTTTCCCTCCTGTACTTTGTAATTTCTCTCCACCTACAAGATTCCACATCACCCTTTGGCTCCGAGGCCACCAACATCTCAACCTTGATCAGTGAAGCAATCTCTCACTTGCTTCCCTTTTCTAACACCCCTTTTCCAGTCTTACCAACCAGAGAACAATCTTCTTAGATCCAGTAACTCTCCCGCTTGAAACCTGCTCATTGTCTGCAGGGATGAGATCTTACTACTGAGCTGAAGCTTCCCCTTCACTTTGTCTTTGGAACTAAGACTTTAGTACTTTATCTGAGATATGATTATTCTGGCCATTTCTGTTTTTTTTTCATATAATTTGGAAATTTTAAATTTATTAGGGAAAAAACTTTAAACAATAAAAAATTAATTATCAGTTCAAATATAAGATTAATTTTGCATTTCTAACTAATTAATTTAAATGTGATGAATTATTTGGCTAATGTTGAGGGATTGTTTCATAGCTCCTTTGTAAGCCATTTAAAAACAATCTTTCTAAGGTCTAGCCATCACTTCCTTATTAAACTATCTTAAATGACACATTTGCCTTAGGTTTGTGTTTCCGAGGATGAGGAAAAACATGCTGTAATTTCTCACTGAGAGGATTTCCTCAATATTTCTTCCCACAAACATCAAAATGAATCTCGGTGCAGTGGCTCACATCTGTAATTGCTACAACTCCAAGGTCAGTCTGCACTAATTAGTGAATTCCAGACCAGCCTAGGATATAGAGTGAGAATCTGTCTCAAAACCAAACTAAACCTCATATTAATGGCAAATGTACACCAAATATACAGTGCAAACACACATTAAAATTTAGTTACAGATTGTGAGATCATCTTTAAAAAATTACTTATTAGTTTTATTTTATATGTATGAGTGTATTGCTTTCATGTACGTAAGTGCATGTGTGCCACGCAATGCCCATGGCGGTCAGAAGAGGGTGTAGAATCCCCTAGAACTGGAGTTACAGATGGTGTGTTAGCTGCCATGTGGGTGCTGGGAACCAAACCCAGGTCCTCTGCAAGATCAGTCAGTGCTGTTAAGTGCTGAGCCATCTCTCCAGCCCCAATATCATCTTAAGAATATTAAAAATACAGAAGGTGGATAAGCACTCTTAGATTTAAATACTTAAATATGGATGCTTAAAATGCATATTTTAAAATTGATAATATATAATTAATATGAAATATTATACATTTATTTAGATTATTTGTGGGCACTGTTTATTTTTTTCAGTCAGGACATATGCCTTTTGTCCCATACTCACATAAAAATATGAAATGAAAAATATGGAAATACAGAAGGATGATGGGGAGAGAGTGCCTCATTTATGCTGTGCAAGTATCTTACTTTGGTTTTCAGGAAACCTTCCCTGAGCACTGTGATTGTTCCTCATTGATCTCCTGCTGTTTCAACATCATACCATCCATTTATCATGGTCCCCCAGTCTCTTTTTAAGCTGAGTCGTATGTCTTTAAAACTCTGTCTTCTAGAAAAATAATTTTGATTGTAGTCTCAATTTGTTCCTAACCTACCAGGCATAGCACTTTTATACTTGTGCAGATAATTTCATTCAAAGCAGGCATTTCTTGAGAATCTGTCATTATTCCTTCTCAGACGACGAAACTAACACAGAGAGAGACAGCTACTTGCCTATAGCTTTCGCCATGGGCAGAAACTTCAACCAGTTCTGTGTAACCATCTCCCAAGACACTGCTTATTCCAGTTATGGAAGCCCCCACAGGTTTATGCACTAGAAGACAGCAGACAGAAAAAGACTTAATCTGGAATCAAGGAGGGTTAACATACACAGTTCAGTTGGAAAGATCTGAAAGTTAG